ATATATATATATGCAAGCAAAACACTCATACATGTAAAATAAAAATAAAAACAAATCTTTCTTAAAAAGGTAGCATAAGACAGGGTCAAAAACATACCATGGGAACTGGGCATGGTAGCTCATACCTTTAATCCCATCCCTTGGGAGGCAGAGGCAAGCAGATCTCCATGAGATCAAGGCCAACCTGGTCTAAACAGCAAGTTCCAGGCCAGCTGGGGCTACAGGGAGACCTTGTCTCAAAAGCACAAACAAAAAAGTAACACTCAAGGATATATACCATCCTCCCTGGGGACCTACCACTATGTGGCCATTCTCTGAGTACATCTATTCATTAAGACCCAAGTCCACTAGGGTGTACTGACCAGGTGTGGCTACAGTTTACCTGCCCCTCTGTGGGATCTTCTGAGATGAGAGACTTTGTTGAGCTTTTCTGGAATCACAATATGCTGTGTCTACATATTGCCTGACCTCCCAACCCAGAAGTAGGATAAAAGGAAGGTGATTTCATCTGTAACCATTATTCTAGGTAAAGCCAAGCTGGCCCCAGGGACCACTCTACCCATTTCCAAACATTGAATCCCCTTGCTTACTAAGCAAGGACTTTCTGGGGGCCATTTAGCCTACTCCTGGTCTCTTTAAAGATTGAAACCAGGAGGCTGGGGATGTAGCAAGGCTGTAAGTGCTTGCCTAGCATACACGAGGCCCTGGGTTTGATCTCCAGCACCACATAAATCATGCATGGTCACATACACCAGTTCAACCAGGTGTATAACACATACCTTTAATCCCAGCACCCGAGGTGAAGGCAGTAGGATCAGAAGTTCAAAGCGAGTCTCAACAACATAGGGAATTCAAGGCCAGCCAAGAGAACAAAAATCACTTCTGCAAACGCTGCAGAAGTGTCATATTTTGCCAGAAGTCTCTCAAGAGCCGCCACATCACCTCTTCATAAAACCTCACCTGTCCTGGCTCACTCTTTAAGCCATTCCGTCCCACACAATGCTCCATGTTTGCAGGCCTCTCCCCTTAGAACGGTCTGTTTCCGTGATAGCATTCAGAATCTGTCATCCCAAAATGTAGCCCTTTGGGGGCTGGAGAGATGGCTCAGCTGTTAGGAGCACTGGCTACTCTTCCAGAGGACCCAGGTTCGGGTTCAAATCCCAGCACCCACATGGCATGCTTACCTGTATGGAGGTTTAACAACCATCTATAACTCCAGTTCCAAGGGATCTGACTCCCTCTTCTGACCTCCACAGGCATTACACAACACAGGTGCACTTACATATATGCAGGTAATACACTCATACACATAAAACAAAAATAATAAAAAATATGACCCTTGGCATAAGGATTATTTTGAGCTGAATATACCCAAGAATCAACAGATGCAGCAAAAGTTTCTGCCCTCCTTTGTCTACCTAATAGTAGGACCAATATTTCTCTTTGCTCTCTGTCTGTCTGTCTCTCTGCCCTCTAGGTGCTGGGATTAAAGGCGTGAGCCACCATGCCTTAGTCTAGAGTCTTACCTGTATGGAGGTTTAACAAATGTTTGTTGAATGAATGATATTTAAAGTCCCATTCTCTGAATTATAACCTCCAAGAAGCACTGCCTGCCCAGCCTCAAGAGTCTGTTCTGAATTCCCACGGCATTCATGAACTCATATCTAGATACCATTGCTACCTGACCTGCACAGCCCATGAAGGGACATGTCCAGCCCATGTAGGAATAAATTATTTTAGACTAAGATGCCACTGACAGCCCAACACTTTATTTCCGATTTACTGGGCCCCCTCCTCTACTGAATTCCTGTATGTGGTAAACCTTTCTTTACCTAGGTAGCTATATGTGGGACTAGGGTGCAGAAACCACGTTGTTGAAAACTACATGTACCAACATACACACTCACCCAGGATGCTCATCACCACCAGGATGGCAAACAGAAGGACTGCGATGGCCCCCAGCAGCAGCCGTGTGGTAGTGTCTGAGGAGAAGACAAAGGGTCAGTATCACTGCCACCCTGTAGCCAGCCCCCACTATTACCCCCAAGTCCTAATAGTGAGAGCCTTGTGGGGTGGAAGCAGTCCTCACATTGACTGTGATGCCTGCTGTTTAAGAAACACTTCCAGACCACCATTCTGATTTTCCGCCCCTGTTACCCACAAATTCCTCTGTGCTGGTTAGTTTTTGACAACTTTACACAGGCTAGAGTCATCTGGAAGAAAGAACCTTAACTAAAGAATTTCCCAGATCAGATTTGCCTGTAGCAATGTCTGTGAGGCATTTTCTTAACTGCTAGTTGATATGAGAGCCCCCGGCCCACTGTGGACAGTGTTACCCCTAGGCAGGTGAGCATGGGCTGTACAAGAAAGGTAGCTGAGCAAGCCAGAGGAAGCCAGCCAGTAAGCAGTGTTCCTCTGTGGTCGCTGCTTTAACTCCTGCCTCCAGGTTCCTGCCTTGAACTCCTGCCCTGACTTCCCTGGATGATGGATTATGAGCTGTAAACTGTTTAACTTCCCAAGGAACCTCCAAACTATTTTCCACAGTGACTATCCCACTTTACATCTTTACCAGCAACACAGGAGGGTCCCAGGTTCTGCACGTACCAATGCCTATTGTCTTCCATTTTCTTTTTATCATTATCGCTTGTTTTATAGTATCCTTGGAGGTGTTTCAGTTTAGATATTTGTGTGTTTCTTTCATCCCTTCTTTCTTTCTTCTTCTATTGTTGTTGTTGTTTTTGCTTTTGTTTTTGTTTTTTGAGACAGGGTCTCCCTGTAGCCCCAGCTGGCTGGAACTTGTAGACCAGACTGGCCTTAATCCCACAGAGATGTGCCTGCTTCTGCCTCCTGAGTGCTGGGATGAAAGGCGTGCTCTACCATGCCTGATGCAGCCTGGTCTTCTTTTAGTGATGTAATATTTTCTCTTACTCTTCTCTCTGAAGATACTGCCTAGGGAGTTGTTCAGGCAAAAGGAGAGGTGGGAAGAATATTCTCTCCTCCCTGTGGAGTCTTGCTTCTTTCAGAACACTTATTCCGGTTCCTGGAGATGCTTGGTTGTTGTTCACGACTAAGGCAGGAGGACTGAGGAGTTCATTGGAGCCTCTGAGTCCAGTGTTAACTGTGGGAGGCATGACAGGAGGATCTGGATGTGCTGACCCTTGGGGCTGACTGATAAATTCCTTAGCTTTTTCCTCCAGGGGAGACTGGAGACCCCCTGGAGGAGGCTCTTCTGTTTTCTCCTGGGTGAGGAGGATATAGGTTTGGCTCCTAAGAAGACTGAGAGACTGTCCTCCACACTCAGTTTGCAAAGGTGGGCTCCAAGGCTTGCTCCTAATCTAGTGGTGTACAGAGAGGCCTTGACTCTTGAGAGATTTCACCTCAAGTTCCTATCACAGATGGGGATGGGCTATTAGAATAGGTAGGCTGAAGTTAGTTACCATTCATCCATTGTGTCACAAGTTCTTATCTCCAGTTCTTACTGTTATCGGCATTTAAAATATCTCTTTACTGTTTACTAACAGGCTTCTAAAGGAAAAGAGACTGAAAACATATTCAGTCAGTCGTCTAGACCTGTAAGCCCAGCAAACATTTTGGAATCGTTCCTCTGAACAAGGTCTGTGCCAGACTCCACCAGAAACACTCTGGGTTCCTCAGGGATCTTTGTTTAGCTCCTGAAGGTATCTACACCGTCCTCTACCAGGAATCTATTCTGAACTCCTCCAGGGGACGAAGCTGGGTTCTTCAGGAGGTCTATACTAAACTCCAATGGAGTCTACGCTGAGTGTCTCCAGAGTCTACACTAGGCTACACTAGCATCTAATAGTGGGTTCTTCCTGGGGTCTACACTGGGCTCCACCAGGGGTCTGCTGTGGGGCCCTCCAAGTGTCTGTACTTGGTTCCTCCAAGGGTCTATACTGGGTCTCCACGAGCCTATATTGGGATCCTCCAGGAATCTGCACTCTGTTCACCCAGGAGTCTATGCTGGGTCCTGCAGAGATCTACACTGGGTTCCTTGGGAGGTCTATGCTGGGATCCCTCAGGAATCTACCTTGAGGTGCCCCCGGAGTCTATTCTTGCCTCCATCAGAAGTCTGGATGGGTGGCTTCGAGCAGTGTGAAAGAGGAGGGTCAAGACTGCCCTGGAAGACTGGGCTCTTTCTGCTTTGCTGTCCTCAGTAGTAGATACAATATGGTCTGTGTCTCCTGGAGCTGCACAGTGCTACAGTGGTGAGCACACTGCTGTGCACCCTTTCCCTCTAGTCCTCACACACCTACCTATCCCCTTTTCAAACATGTGTGTTAGAGCCCTTTCCACATTGAGGATGAGAACACATCTGAAACCACCTCACCCAGGTTCAAATCCACACTCTGTCCCTTTCTGGATGAGGACACTTGACAAAGTCTCTGAGCCCCCCATTTTTCCTCAAACAGTACAGTATAAAAAGTAAGTACATAACATTTACATTATATTTGGTAGTGTTGGGAATTTAGAGAAGTTTAAAGCATACAAGAAGATGTGAACAGGTTCTATGCAAATATGCCATTTTATCTCAGGCATTTGAGCATCCTTGATTCTTTGTCTGATGGAGGATTCTGGTGCCAATGCCCGGTAGATGCTGACGGGGTAATGTATAGAGCTTAGAACTGTGCCCAACATGGTGACCTCTATGTACCATCTCTATGATGGCCAGCCCTAGGCTCCTTTGGAGTAAGAACTGTGCTGAATTCGATTGGATTCCATAAAACAACATTGGGCTATTGCCTTGTACAATACAGATTAGAACTCAAAACATATAAGGGGAATTTAGCTATACTGAATGACAATATCCTTGGTCAGCCTTAAATTCAGTTGAGTTGTAGGAATTGAGTGGAAAGGGGCTATGTGCATATATATCCCCATCATCAGAACTGAAGGACCTTTTCATTCCTTCACAGGGATGATCTCTCTAGACAATTCACTGTGGACAAAGGAAGGACACCTTGAGAATCCCAACGCACTGCTCAATACCTGCCCTCCCAGAGGCCTGGGGCTAGACAATCCAAGTCAACATGGCATTGGTTTCCTAGAGCTCCATAACCAAGTGCCAACTGGGTAGCTTCAACAATAATGGATCCTCTTACTTCTGAAGACCAGAAGTCTAAACTCAAGGTGTTGTCAGGGCCATGCTGTCTCCCAAGTCCTCAGGGAGGCCTTGCTTGGCTCATCCTGGCTCCTGGTGCGTTGATGAAAATCCTTGGCATTCAGCGGCTTACTCCAACCTCAATCTTAGTTAGCCCATGACCTTCCAGGTACTGTGTACATCTAAGGACACTAGTTCATCCTGGATTAGGGCCCACTGACTCCAGTCTGGCCTCCTATCTAATTATATCTGCCAGGATTATATTTCCATCCAAGGTCACAGTCTGTCCTAGAAGTTAGGATTCACCATGGCTCCTTCAGTGTGAACACAGTTCAACTTTTTTTTTTCTTTTTGAGACAGGGTCTCCCTGTAGCCCCAGTTGGCCTGGAACTCATTATGTAGACCAGGCTGGCCTTGAGGTCACAGAGATTCACCTGCCTATGCCTCCCAAGTGCTGGGATTAAAGGCATATGCCACCACATCCAGCACAGTTCAACTTCTAACAAGCACCTAACTCAATAATTATTCCACTATGCAATGCTCCACATTAGCTAGAGTTTACAGGTGCGGGTTATTTAAGTTCTAAATGTGTGTGTGGTTTAGCCTAATATTAGAAGGAACTGAAAAATAACTGGTTCTTTAGGCCCGGAAAATCTCCCATCATCCTCACATCCATATCCCAACAAAGGTCCATGGCTGACATCTACACCATCTGCAGCACAGCCTCAGCAACATAATCCTGACTATTAAAAACACTCAAATGTGGAGCTTGGTAATTTTAAAATTTTAGGTAGCTTTTGCCAAATGCATGTGTGTGGTTTTGATCAGGAAGTTGTGGGTTTGTACCTAATCAAAAAACTTTCAACATTAAAAATTCAGAATGGGTGACCACTGGGAAATCTATAGCCTGAGGTACAGAGTCACTCTGTCCCCTCTCCCTTACCCCAGAACACTTTGCCCCTCTCCCAGCCCCAAGACCAGAAATAGCCACACCTTGAATCACCTTCAGGGATTCCAGACCCCAGCAGGGCACTCCAGGTCACCTTTACCAGCCTTTCACCTAAGCCTCAGGTGGAAGGACAGACTCATACCCACAGGGAAAGGAGCCTTCATCAGCCCAACCCCTGTCTGGCCTCTGTTTATAAAGCTAATTAACTGTTCAACTGAGGATAGTCTTCTAGACCTGGGACCTCAGCTTTCTGACGGAAGGTCTCCAATTCCCTCAACCTGTGAAGAGGGAAGAGCTGCCTCTCCTTGGGGGTAGCAGGCTCCTCTAAGGAGCCAGAGGAAGAGAGCTGTGTGTTCAGGAAGGGCAAATGGATTATCTCCAGTTAGCCTCTCTGAGCCCAATGTCCTTGATCACACAGGAAAGAAGAGCTTTTCAGGTCAAAGGGCCCTGAGGTGGCTCTCACATGGATTTCATGTTGTTAGCAGCTACAGTGCGTCCTCGGGTGAGATGTTTAAGACTCCCAGTCTCCATGTCCTCTCCCATCCTGACCCACCCCACCAAGGTGAGAGTTAAGTGAATGACTAAGGGCCACACAGCCCTATGGGTGCCTGACATCTACTTGGGGGCAAAGTAAGAGCTGGGTACAGGGACCTCTGGGGGCTCAGCTTGAATGGCTGAGAAGCTTCTGCCTTGCTCTCTAGACAGGTGCCAGACTAAAGCAGAGGCTACAAGCCCACTAGGCCCCAGGACTAGCAGGTCCCTCACCCATCCAGGGTGTCATTTTGTACACTGAAGTATGGTGAAGGAATAGCTTCAAGGACAACAGAGGAGGGGAAAGGACTCTAACTGAGTAGCTAGTCACCCTTGTTCCTTGAACTCTTCAGCCAGGCTGCAGAGTGCTGTGTCCACAAAGCTGGGAAAAGGAGTCACCACAACAGAACCTACATTCCAGACTGTTGTCTGGTTAGCTCTGGGAGATGGAAATCATGACCTGATTCAGTAGATGAAAAAAATGAGGCTTAAATGAGTGAAGCCTGACAGCCCATGGTGGCAGAGGCTCAGCCTTACCAGGCACAGCTATTTGTACCTCACCAGGCTGATCAGCCCCTGTTCTAGGATCTCTATAAGGGCTGGATGTGCCTAGGGTCTAGGGTGATGTCTTGACACTGTTGAAAGAATGAATCAATATGGAAGCCAGTGCAAAGACCCCACACAGCCGCAACTAATGAGGCCCAATCCCAGTCTATGAGTTCCCCATTTAGGATAGAAGACAGGGGAGCACACAAGGGTTACCCAGGAGACCCTCAGAGGACCAACAGAGATAAGAGTCTGGTGGAAAAGTCAGCAGATCAAGATGCTGAGCACTCCAGAACCATTGGGGAGGGGTATAGCTCTTATGCACACCAGAGGACAAAAGAGGAGGACCAGTTCACCCAAGACAAGGCTAGACTGTAGGAAAATGCCAAGCAGGGGGGTGGACTGGACCCAGAACCCAGAGAGAGCTTCTTATCACTTTCCTCATGCCCAGTGTGTAGCTTCTTCTTCAGCTGATGGTCAGGGTCAGCCAGTCACATAGACAGTAGAAAGGACAACATCCCAATGAGTTCAGGGCTAGAGATGTAACTGGAGCCAGTCAGTCACACAGCCTTGAAATAGCCCCACCCAGTGGGGGAAGGGTAAAGGTTAGGCAGAGCAGACCCTTCTGAATGCTTACAAAAGAATGAAGAAATACAGCCTGCAGGAGGGAGTAACATCAAGAAATATCTTGAGTATGGGCAAACTTAGGTCACAGGGAAAACCCAGCCACCAACCAGAAACATCCTTTCAAGAGGGGGTGGTTGGCTTTTATTCTACCCAAGCTTTGGAGCTAGTGCCCTTCAGTAATATCCTTACACTTAGAGAAATGATGTTTGCTTCCATGGTTCCTAATCACTGTGGACCTTCCCCTGAGTTTGCACAGCCCTCTCCTGGCAGTGCCCTGCCCCGCCCCACAACCTTCAGCCAAAGGTCCTTCATGTTCTGCAGCCCCATGACCTGCCTGGGCACAGGTGATGGCTATGACCCTTCCAGATCACTACCCCACCTCTCTCACCGACCTGCCTTCTGTCAAAGGTCTTCCTCATACAGACCCACTGTCCCTCAACAGCTCCTTCACAACAAAGTCCAATCTCCATAACCTGACCTGGGTGGTCCTTCACATTTGGCCCCTTCAGATTCACACCCCCATGGCCACATAAGCATCCTAGGGTTCAGTTATCCACAAGGGATAGCTAGTTTCTGCAGTCATTTCTTGGACTAACTGGTGCACCCTTCCCTATCTATTCCAGGCTATTCCAGGAAGACTCCCTTTCTGACTCTCTTGTCCCTGGTTAGTGCTTCCCACAACCTCCTCTGACCAAGGTACTAGGAGTCTGTGAAGCATCTGGCAGCCACCCTTCTCTGTGGCTGACTCCAGCATCTCCCACACAGCATACCAACCAACTCGCTGGCAGCCAACACAAGTTTCCAACCAGAGCTTGTGAACTTGAAATCTCCTCCTCCACTTTGGTTACTGCCTCCTGGAGAGCCAGTGATCACTCCCTAAGCCAGTATGACTGGGAAGGGTAGGTAGGACCCCTACTTTGCTAGGAAGAGCCTCTGGGGAATTCCTCCACACCTGAACCCATCACCACCAGTGCATCCCTCCCACACCCACAGGGTGCAGGTGCCATCTCTGGGCACCACACTTTGTTACCAGACCAAATGCATTTTCACTGGTATGGATTCAGGCTGCCACTCAAAGTGCAGGACAGGTGCGTGCGGGACCATAACTGAGTACCTCACCAGAATCAACTGAGGCTCAGAGCATAAAGCTTGTTCCAAGGTCAAAGGGAGTTAGCAGCAAAGGCAGAATCAAGGTTGCAGTAGTCTCCCTCCCCTTCCACATAGTGACATCTGCCTGTCCTGAAATGAATGAATCCTCCGGGTCCCAGGCTGCCCTCTCCTTCGCGAAAGTGCTCAAGGTGACTCGGGTCAACTCCTGGGTCCCAGGTCGCGGATCCAGGGGCTGGAGGGCTGGGCGCTTACCCTCCAAGGCCGCCTTCCAGCTGGTGCTGCCCTCGTAGCCCGACCCAGATCGCCGGAGCAGCCCCTCCGGGCCGCGGGCCTCCGCCTCTGCTGGAGAGCGCGGCCTGGGTGCAGCGGGTGGGGGACGCGCTGCGGGGGGCGGCGGCCGGGTCCGCGCCGGGGGCTCCCGGGCCGGCTCCATGCCGCGTCGCG